CATGAGAAAAATTATATTTTTTTTAAAGTTTTAGTTTAAAAATGAGCTATCGTCACAGCGTTACATCGCAGAGCAGATTTTATTGAAGTATTTCTTTGTAGACTCAGTTATTAATGAAAGTGCCTGGCTTTTCTGTTGCAACAGTCATGAGATTTTCACTAAAGAAATACGTTTGTTACATTTTCAGTTAATTTTGTTTGTAGTCTTGTTAATTTAACTGAAATCTAAGATTATGAACTTTTACTTAACTGGCCTATCATAATTACCGTAACTGTAGTAGTTTGTTAAGGCAGATTTTATGAACTTTTACTTAACTAGCCTATCATAATTACCATAACTGTAGTAGTTTGTTAAGGCAGATTTTTTTGCCTGAACTTTGGTTAGCTTGAAATTTGAACGGAAATATGCAAATGGACATAATAAACTTGAACAGTGAAATCAAAATTTAAGGTTCGAATCCCTGTCACACCAAACATGCTCGCCCTTTCAGCCGTGGGGGCGTTATAATGTGACGGTCAATCCCACTATTCGTTGGTAAAAGAGTAGCCCAAAAGTTGGCGGTGAGTGGTGATGACTAACTGCCTTCCCTCTAGTCTTACACTGCTAAATTAGGGACGGCTAGCGCAAATAGCCCTTGTGTAGCTTTGCGTCAAATTCAAGCAAACAAACAGACTTTCTTCTCTCTTTTTAAATTAGTAAATCCCCCCCACATTCAACATGGAAAGTGGCATATACATATTACCAGTAAAACAGCCCCTCGGTAGCTCAGCGGTAAGTCAAAGGGCTTAACAACAACCAAACAAAAAAAACAGTAATATATCCCCTCAGAACCAACTGATAAAGTAGCGACACCTGAGGATAAAGTTAAATTGTCTTTCAATTTTTAGAAGACGGTACGTTATGTTTTAAAACTATGTATGCTGAAAAGAATGTTTTGTAATATAGATATTGTTAGACTTTAAACCTGAACGACACCTGATATGACCCATGGGTTAAATTGCCTGAACGTTCAAGTATAACCATCGCTCATTTAAAACTGCTGACGGCCATCACCAGAGAAAGAACAATCAGTCAGTGGCACCCGACGCCTACACAGATGAAAGTATGGAGAGTGCTCAGCACCCTATCGCGGGCTCGAACCTAGGACCTTCTGATGCCCAGCACGATAATCACTAGGCTATACCCGGACCACTTGCAATAAAGAAATATTTCAATAGACAAGTGCTAATAATTTTCGTATTATAAAGCTAAAGTTTGGTACTACAATTATGAGAAGAAATCCTTATTATATATGAAATATTTCTGTATTCAATTATATGTTCAGTATCTTGTCTTAGAATCGACTTGATGAGGCTCATAAGTCCGAAGAGCTATAATTTGGAAGGTCCAATGGTTCGTAATTTTATATTTCGTTTACTGTTTTTACATATACACCAATTGTGCTCCACCTCAACTTTCGAACATCGAGCCAACCTCCTCGTATATATATATATATATGTATTTTTGTGTGTGTGTACTTTGGGACTTACAGCACGTTAATTAATGCAGCATAGTAAAAAGCAAAGAAGCCTTGAATATTTTTCAGTTAAACCTAATATACCATATTCTAAGACACAAGTCAGTTCAGATGTTATAGCAACTTATAATAAATTTGAAAACGTGATTGTGTTACTACAATAGAAACGTGAACATTTTGTTCAAAATTATAATAAATAATATTACAGGACAGCGCACCTGAGTGTCCTACACATGGTCATTTAAAACAATGTTGCTACTGGTTTGGACTTCCGACACATCGAGCTTAGGGACCTTCAGAAGTACGTTATTACTGGTTATCTGGGCTTCGGACTTACGACCCTTCGTATTCATGACTCTTCAGACCAACGTTAGTACTGGTTACCTGGACTTCGGATTTAATGACTCTTCAGACCAACGTTAGTACTGGTTACTTGGACTTCGGATTTAATGACTCTTCAGACCAACGTTAGTACTGGTTACTTGGACTTCGGATTTAATGACTCTTCAGACCAAAGTTAGTACTGGTTACCTGGACTTCGGATTTAATGACTCTTCAGACCAACGTTAGTACTGGTTTCCTGGGATTCGGACTTATGACCCTTCAGACTAACGTTAATTCTGATTACCTGGGCTTCGGATTTAGCGACTCTTCAGACCAGTGCTAGTACTGGTTACATAATTTACGATTTAACGACCCTCCAATCTTACCAAGCTTAAGACCAACGTTGGTTACTTGGGCTTCTGACGTAACGGTCTTTCAGTGTTACCAGGTTTCAGAACAACGTTAGTACTGGTTACCAGGGCTTCGGACTTAATAACTTTCGAAACAAGACCGTGATGCCTTCTTTGTCTTATATTTCCAACTGTTTGATTAAGCTTTTTGATCTCAAACCTATAAGTTAAAATCGTTAGAGAACTTGTGTTTAATCATTAAGCTATACATATGTAAATTTTGTCGAATGGAAAATGTTGTTGAAACGGTAAATCTTTCAGAGATGATTTGAATTCAAATCTTTTCTCAAAACGACAGTTTAGTTTTTATTTGACAGAAATTTCGGCGTTTAGTTAACAATAGTTAGGTGTTTATTTAACAATAGTAAGGGAACAACTTAGGTCTTTGTTTAACAATGGTTTAGGTGTTTATTTATTAATGTATTTTTTTGTCATTTCAGCCCCACGGGAGGAGGACTGGCGGGTCATCAGAGGATTACGTCTTCTCTTCGGTCAAGAGATGAAAATGATGATAAAGAAGGAATGAACCAAAAACATAAGCGATGGGTAAAAGTGTGAAGTCAAACAGAGAGACCTCTAGTGTGAAGGAAAGAAAATGAGAGAATGACCAGACGGTGAGTACAGTATGTCGAGATAAGTGACGCGTTTTAAGATAATTTTTTAGTAAACTAAGCCAGTTGATTTTTTTTGTACGGTTAAAGGTCTAATCATTGAATTCTAGAGTTATTTAGTCACTGAATAAATATAAGAGAATAAATAAAACATAGGGACATGGTCATGATTGGGATCGTCCGACAGAAGTGATATGATATACAGCTTTAAAAGACGATTAGCAGGTACTACAACCTTCCGTGAGGAATGTACGATGGACATCAGAGAAGATCACATTTTGAGAAAGGAAACATGTGGTAACATAACGAGTTCGAAGCTGACACAATTGAAGATTTATACGGTCGTAGAACTCCCGGGCGGGACAAGGCAATTTAATATTGAAAGTAAGTATAAGGGCTTGTTGTTCCAAAACCTGGAGACGAGAATAAAAATTCATAGAAGCAGAAATCTAGGCAGTACCACCATGTGTGAGACAGGATCGAATAAAGCTCCCGTACGTGTGCAGCAAGAAAGGTGGATTTAAATCTGAATAGATTACTTTAAGAGACCGGGGCAGTTAGAGACGGCGAGAAACTTTGTCAGAGAGAGCAGACAGGTGTGCCTTCCACGGTAGATGCTTATCAAATATGACACCAAGATATTACACAGAGGCGGAAAGCTGGA